GCATCAAATATACATTTGCAAACCTGCTCATCTTTATAAACTATAGCTGTTACCAACACCATCGTCCGTGTCCCATTATTTAGATCATGAAGAGAAATAATCGATTTATACGTATTTGTCAGGTACGCCAAACCGTTAAGCAGCGCCCGCAACGAAACCAACAACCGTCAAAGATTTTCCAACATTGTTGCCACATTTCCCACTATTTCGTTCCTCTTATTCGTCGCAGCCTATGTTTTTAGATCGAGCCAGTTGTTCTTGAGATAAGCGCGTTCAAAAAAACTCTTCAGCCTTATATTAAAGTATAATCAAATTTCACCTTTATTGGTATAGTCCGATGGCTGCATTTCGTTTTTCAGTGCGTATATGTTCGGCTTAATGTCTTGCGCCTCGTTGGCGCTCAGATCTTCAGCTTTGACGTCGTGTGACGAACTGCTGTTTCCGTAACCGTTCATCATTGTTGGACGACTGGAAGGATTGTTATCAGTCAATTTATAGTACGATCATTCTGTTACTCGAATAGTGCATATTTACGTAAATAAATGCAACGGTTTAAAGCACGATATATATTAGTTAAAATTATTTGGAAATTTTCAAATACGGTCCGACATTTCGGATGAAAAGTAAACAGACGGCTATTGTAAAGCATCCGAAACGTCGGGCCGTAGTTAAAATATCGCGTTTCAAACAGTTAAAGTATTTATTTCCAATTAAGTCTCCCATACCTATAATCCTCGTGTGAAGACTGATAATCATCACTCTGCATCATGTGATCATCGGTGGACATGTAAGCTAGATTGCAGTCTTCCATCATACCCTGGAATCAGTTAATTACTCGCCATTAAACATATACAATCATTAAGAAATATCAAGTTTCATAACAGACGGAGACCAATGCGACGACAACTTAAAGCACTTTAACCAACTAATGTCTACATTACATTAAAACAATCATATTTAAATATTTTTTTTTATGAATTGGAAATATTTACGAGTCGCAAGTCTTGAAACGGCATCTAGCGTTTCGTGCTATTGCTTAAGCAATTGAGCTACCGAGTCCTACACCTCATCGTCGAATTTTTCCAACTTATATATATTTAACCTTTCCTTTCGCGCAATATAATAATGATTTAGTAATTTTATTTCCTTCAATTTAATAAAGTATATATTTAACCTCTGTAGCTAAATGGTTGAACATGTTAGTATTGCGCTAAGCGCGAAAGGGTCTAAATCCCGAGGAAGCAATGGAACGTTACGGGCAGAGCGCCGAAATCTGATCCAACAGAATCGATCAGCATAAATGTGTTGCCCAGCCCCACGGGAAGGACGGGGGGTTTCCCTTCTTTTTCATGTCTTTATTTTCCAGGGATTGAGTCAAACTTATTCTAATATTACATATCTACAATATGTTGGTTTTGAAATTTAAATATTATTTGGGCGGTAGGAGTATCAAATTCCATCAATTCACGAACCACCACTGAAAAGATGTGAATTTTAATCGCGTTTCGGCTTCAGTCTATAGATTTCCGAATGTCTCAAACCAATAAAGTCGACAGCGCACTGGTTTATATTTTAATATAAAGACGACAGACAAGCATGGTATTAACTTGGGACGTGTAATACCACAGCCATATATCTTCTACACAAGATGCGACGTCGACTTATTTTGGTTTTGAATATTCGGATACATCTATACAAATATATAAACCCCAGGAGTTTGTTTGTTTGAACGCGCTAATCTCAGGAACTACGGGTTGGAATGGAAAAAAATATTTTTGTGTTGGTTAGAGCATTTATAGAGAAGGGCTATAGGCTAAAACATCTCCCTGTGACTAATACAAACTAAGATAAATTAAGAAATGTGAAAAAAATAGGAAATAATATCCATCATTATGGGTTTCCGAGGCGTACGCTGCAAAAACGGTTCGAGATACCCAATAAGTATGTATGTATGAATAATTTTTAAATGATCTAAAAAAAGTTTGCGATATTATATGTCTATCTTGTAAGATTAACTAGCAAGAACGATGGAAGGGACGCGACTGACGTCGAGGGTTAAGTTTATTAAGGTTTGCAAAACGAATTTGGATGCGCAAAACAACGATTCTCGCGGAGTCGCTGGCACAGCTAGTTATTATACGTCTGGACCTTTTATCAATAAGCATGAGGCTTGTCTGTTGTTGCCTGTTATAAAGAGCACAATTTTCAGTATCTATGGATAAATAAAAATACTTTTAATATTTACCTGAAGATTGCGTTTCAACGCTTCGCTGTAACCATGTGGACTGGTCATCATTGGTGGACTCTGAGCTCCAAGGAACCTACAAAGCAAGAACCCATTAAAAGATCCAAGATAACGACTCAATTAAAATCAGAAATAAATTTTGAATAATAGAAGGTAATTCAATTTTTTTTATTACGAAATTTCCATATGGATTAAAATATATTTTTAGTAATAACTGAAATGTGAATTAAATAATAAAATCAGCATACCCTGGCCTTATCAAACCTATAACATGACTTCATCTAATCTAAGGATAAATGTGTCTTATGTATGTGTCAATTGTAGAGTGTACAATTTTGAAATAATCATCCAATCATATTTGTCCTGTGTCAAATGTGTATGTAGTGAATATAATTGAAGATAAAAATAGAATAAAAGAGAAAAAAGCAAGCGTATTAAAGGAATTTTGAGAAAAATTTCGAGAAACATTCAAAAAATGCGTAACATTTGCACGTGCAAAGCGGACTCACCTTGTCAAGGAATGAAAGCATGCATGGTAAAAAGGAGGTAGTTTGAAAAAAACACATCTTACTTGTATATCCACCGACGATCCATCTTACAACATTTTAAATGCAAACATGCATAACATTAAAATAGGACTACAAGATAACGTTATATATAAATATGATCTTATGCTATTTTATTTGGCTTGAACTGTTTACTGATCATCAAATCATGCATAACATTTTTTTATGTAAATGATTGAGTTCAGAGAAACAACAAAGATACATTTGCAACATATTCTATAAAGCTTAATTCATGATTTATCTGGAATCTATAGCAAAACAATTCACAGCTTGGCTATCTAGGTTTTTAATGAGTGAAGTACCTATATCTATATCCAATATGTGGGTTCATATCCTTCGTGTGTCATTTTTACTTATCGTATATCATATTTTTCACATGTTATTGCACATGATGGCATTATGTAACAAATGTATTTAAATTGATTTTTGATTTTGGTAGCTCAATTGGTAGAGCAGCACGTAACGCTGTTGATGCCGGGTCAAGTCCTGCCCGTATTGTAAAAAAATTTAATCGAAATACATTTTTAATTCATAAAAACAGTCATGTGGAAAAATAATGTTTCAATGGCTTTTGACGATCTAGACTCTATAGAATTACGCATTGAACCTTAAATAAGTAATAATCGAGAAGAATTAGACGAATTGAATGATGACGAGCGGGATTCGGTAGATTGTAGTAACGTTAAGATCTAAAGAACGGACACTGTTGATATAGATATAGGAACTCGTATTAATTCCTTGTACGAATGGGCTAATATAACGTCGAATATATCTACGCTTACATCAATTACACACCTTAACGATGGTGAACATCAAACTATGTGTGGACCAAGAATCGAGATTCTGGATTCCAATGTCCACTCGTTAAATTCTAATGGACGCGAACGCCCAACGACTCTCTATTGTCACTATTTCTTTCACCGATAAGTATTTTCGTCTTCAGTGGTCTTGTTAGTGATTTTATTAATATACCCGGTATTCGATTATTCATTATAAATAAATTAGTATCAATATTGGAGTGTTTCTTAAAATTATAATCAAGATTCGTTGGACGACCGCAACGCGTGATGCCGCAGCGTCCTTACTGTGGAGCGTTTGGTCCTTGCGGAGCCGGCTCGTACTTCCTCGGCCGACCGCGGCTGAGGTGCCGTCTCTTCACAAATTCAGCATCGTCCACCATCCAGAACGAACCGAAGTCGTCTTCGTAGCGCACGAAACATTTGTGTAGTGACAGGTTTGTCCGGATCGCATTCTATAATTCATTTCTCTTTAGCGATTGTGTTTAGATCGGCTAATACCTCATGGTTGGAACGTGCTTCAAATATTTTTGGATTTTGGTAACGTCAATTTGAAGCACGTTCAGATCGTCGTGGAAGTTCTTAAAATATCATGCAACCCCATACCCGAGGATGAAAAGGAAGGATTCTGGTTAATAGGCAAGCGAGAAAGGTTAGTCACCGTAGCGCTGGAACCCACAAACACACACAAATAACAAACCCTAAATACGATAGGTTGCTGAATAACCGATGTACGTGTTATAGAGCAACTTACAAACATCATCCAAAATTAGCTACACGATAAATAATTTGAAAATTTAAATCTGAAACGAGAGAAACATTTATTTACATGACAAAAATATTAATTATCATCTAAGTTAGATAGAAAATAAGAAGAGACTGATAAATATGTGCCGTGTTCTCTTGTTCAGTGTTTGTTAGTTCTGTGTCGATATTGTATTGTGTATTTTGTTTACTGTGTCCATCATTTTGTCCAGCTATGTTTTGTAAATATTATTTTGTATAGTTTGTTATAAGTTTTGATGTTTTGTGTAAATAAATTAGAAGAGAATTTTAATAAAACACATTTAACGAGTTATACATTTTATATATCTCGCATTTTAAATCCTTAGAAGTGTTTTGCTTGAATCAGACATTTGAAGAGAAGTTTGCATTATGTTTGTGTTCTGTTATATCATGTATTTTTTGTTTATGTGTAATAAGACGGTGTGTTTCAGAGTTAGATTTTGTAGTGTAGGCTGTACTGTGTAGAATGATTAAGTTAAGTAAAATGTCTGCAAATTGTGTTGTGTTTCTTTGCTCGTTGTGCGAATTTCAAGAATAAGATACGACTGAGAGGTTCCAGGTGTCAAGTGTAGGATAAGACAGTGTGGCATGTACAGTATCCTCATGTTAAGTGTAGGTCAGCAGGCCAGGTGACGCTGTAGCGTACCCAGCGTGGTGCATCGGTGGTGGAGGAGCATGGGTGGCCCGTTGCGGTCGCCTCTTGTAGAATTCCACTTCATCAACAGTCCAGACAGCACCTTTCACGTTCTCCACACGCATGAAGCATTTGTGCAGCGAAAGGTTGTGACGCACTGCATTCTGTTCGTACTTATCTACTTAGTATACGTTTTTACTATAGTCTATCGTTTGGATAGAGACGGAACTCTATAACGGTAGTTAGATTCTACTCTTTGCTTTTATATATCTCTATGATTTGAATAAAGCACGGCCGTCAGAAATGGTACTTGATTTGACTTTTTTTGTTACGCCTCTATTCTTAATTCTATTGACCTTATATCTAAATATATAACTCGATTCAAAGATGACTGTTTAGTTTTGAATTGAATACAATATATTTGGATATATATTTGTTCTTTGAATGGAGTTGGGTATAAAATAAGTGCTATTTACCTGAATATCCGATGAAGTTATAGATTAAACTTCAATAAAATTGTCAATTATAATCTAATACATGTTTTTTGCAGTCAGTACAATGGACGTATGCTAGATATGTTAACCTTACCTTCCAGGTTGCCGCGTTTCGTCTGAAGTAGCAGAAGGTTGTCTGGAACCAGTTGTAAATCTCGTTCAAAGTCAGCTGCTTGTCCGGTGATTCTATAATAGCCTGTAAAAGAGATGGTTTCATTTTTTTATAGCTTATATCTCTACGCTCTATATTTATAGTTTTTAGCTGGGGTAACATCATATGAATAGTGCGCATTTAAAAAAATATTTTAAACGAATTAAAACGGGATTTTTTGGAAATTTAATAAATATAACGACAACTCATCAGCGGTCAAGCAACGAAAAAGGCTAAGCAAGTTATTTTGTTCATTTTTATGCATTGTGACGGGCTTTACATTGCAATCTAATGGTAGCAATGTATGGTTAATAATCAACGGGTCGTTTATTCGATCGGTTCGATTATTTTTCCAATCTATTTATATTTTTTCAAAAACTTATTGGACTTCGTCTGGAAGTCTCGATTTTGAATGGGTGGTACCGTATCGAAGATCCATCCGGGTCACGAACCACTGTCTAGTATAATAGTTTCTTGGTTTCAGTCTGTTGATTTCGGAAAATCCAAAGCCAATATATATAGCTAGAGGCTGGGATATTTCATCCACCATCAAGTGAACGGAATACTGTCTGTCCTCCTCTATCTATAAAAATATAACATACCTGTCGAATGAGTGACGCGTAAGTGAACGGCGGCCGCACATCCGCGCTCTTGTAGAAGTCGCGATTCCGTTGTATTTCTGAAATTTGCAAATCGGCAACTTCAATCAATTTAATTGGAGGTATTTTAATGGAAATTAGAGGCATTCGCCAATCGTACAATCTTTTACCTTGCTGAACGTCTAATCCAGCTCTTTCGAGCATGTAGGGAAGACCTTAACAAAAGATAATTGCTTAACTAAATAGTTTACGCAAGTAAAACATTTAAGTAAACACTTTTAACGGTTTGAAACGCGAAATATATTAGACTTATCTGCAAGTGATGGCGCTAGTATAGCAGAATTTAACTTTAAGCACTGTCTGTAGATTCCAATTTAAATAAATCAATTTTAACGGTTAAATAAGCGAAATTTATTCGTTAAACTGATTTACAATTGATGGCGTTATCGTAGCAGTTTTGCCGATAGAGACACCCACCATATTCAGTCCCCCCATCACCAGAGCTGCTTTACAAACACATTTAACGACGTAAATAAATGAGTTAAATGAAAGTTAATCTAATCACGACCCGACATTTTGTTTTGCACCAGTCGAAGTCAATGTAAAAGTCAAACAATTGCTGTAATATCCACTTATACATTTCGTGTTTATAGCCGTTAAGTGGTGTAAAGAAAGGTTATTATATAATTTTTTCTTCTCAATCAATATTATCACTTTAAATTTTTACCTCCTGCAATAGCCACGCCGGATTTATCGGAAACACGACGCCTAACCGGTCCAGGTGAAGCACCTTCACTGGGGGCTCCTGTAAAAGAAAAATTGAAAACTTCGTATAGAATAGTAACTGTTGTGTTACGTAACGCGTAACGTTGTCAAGCTTCCTTTTATCTTACACATACAGCAATTTAAGGTGAAAACTTTGTTAAGAACCTAACCCAGGTTACGCGTTACGCCGTCTACCTTCTTTAAAATTTGCAAATAAAGCATTTTAAGTTTAAAAATTTGTTCTTGTAGTTAAATCGTTCGTTACGTAACGCGTTACTTAGTCTTACACTTTATTTTGCACATAAGGTGATGCCGTACATGCACATGGTAATGTGCAACTTAGATTAGATTAGGTTATCACTTGAAAATGGCATCTTAAAATTTTCTGGTAGAAAAACGAATTCTTCTGTGGTTCTTACCATGTGGCATCTTATGGTGGTGGGCTGTGTCTCTGGCTGCGTGGAGGTGACGCATCATGGCGGCAAGGCGGTCTCTCTCACGCCTTAGCTGAAGCTCCAATTGTGCCACCACCTGCATTTGAACCCGAGCTTGCGCAGCAGAACGGTCATCCAGAGTGTGTGCTGCTTCTAGATGCCTAGACATTTCGTGTACACCGTTAATAACACTTTTAACGGTTTAAAACGTGAACGATAACAAATCATCAATTCAAATATCATCAAGAACATTCTGTCATTTCAAATGCTTTTGTAGGTGTGGTAACAGAAGAATTCAGTTTTGAACTGTTATAAATGTATTACTTGCAATCATGGTGAATAACAATTTTAACGGTTTAAAACATGCAAGACATCTAATTCGCAATCAAAAATAAAAATTCTCAAATCTAATTATCAATTCAAATATCAACGAGAACGACCTGCCATTTTAAATGCTTTAGTAAGTGTGGTGACAGAAGAATTCAGTTATTAAGATTAGTTTAAAACTGTTACAAATGTTTTGTTTAACAATGCTACGGATATAGCGTAACAGTTTAAAGAAAATGACAGAGTACGTCTCAGTGTCGTGCCTGATGATGATGATGATGATGATAACCTGATGCATGTACGCAGACACATATTTATTTAACTTCACTAAATATAAACACCAGAAGATTTGTTTTATAACTACAAAAACTTATGAACTAGCTTGTAAATAAAAAGCGGCCCTAGCTAAACAACAATCTCTTCCAGACAACCTGAACTTAAGGGAAAACATAATTTCTAATATCCAAATCCAGAAAAGGTCGGCAGCGCATCGGACTTGGATGTTAAAAAACTAAGACTTTTATTACTTTCCTTTATATTAACCCTAGACTTGCCTAATCTTTAATATAAAATTCATGTAATGGCTATTGCCGTTTTAATTGTTTATACTAAATAAATACATAGCTTCTCTATCAACTGTCAAACTTACTTGAGGAAAGCTTGGAAGTCTTCAGCGAGGGCGTCACATCCAGGCCATTTACATACTCCACGTCCGTACAATGGATGTTCTTCGATTTCACTGCCCCATAACATTAGTCCTAAAAAAATAAATAATAGTACTATAATCCATAACCCAGGCATAGTGGAATAAAAAAAAAGGTATTGACAATATCAACTCATGTCTACATTAATTGAAAGTTTAAATAAAACATTTTAACGGTTTAAAACACAATATAAATTAGTTAGATTTATTTAGAAATTACGTTTCTGATGCTTTGCAGCGGTCGTGGTCGGGGAGACTAAAGATGGAGCGTGTCTCTAATGTCAAAGCGAAAACTGCTACGCTAGCGCCATCTGTTCTATCGTAGTTGGTATTCGAAACGTGAGGTACAATAATTTACCTAATTTTTATTGTGTTTTAAACCGTTAAATACTGTTATTTAAATGTGTACTACTTGCGTAAACTACAAACAGTATGCGTTGAGAGTTGAAAAATAAACAAGCCTTTCTTATAAAAATGGAACATGGTGGTAGGTAAATAAATATTGCGGAATATTGATGGCGGCTCAAATCCTGCCCGTGTTGTGATTTTTTTTTGAATTTACAGTCGTATTTACTTTAAATTAATTATAAAATGGCCCATTTTAACTTGACATAATAATTGTATCTACCTGGTGGTGCATTAGGCGGAACGGAGAGCGGTGCATGCATCAAATACTGCCGCTGCACCGCTTGCAATTGCTGCACTAGCTGCTGCTGTTGAGCTCCCAATTGTTGCTGCAGAGAACCTGGATAATGCAAGGAGCTGTAGTAATGGTTCTACCTTAAAAGACGTTGGATAGTAGCCACCATTCTTACCAGGTGAAGTATCTGGAGGCTGGAGATGAGACTGAGAGAGCAAGTTCAAGTTAATCTGGTCTTGCAGTCGTGACTGCTCCAATCTTTTCGCTGCCTCCGAAGACATGTGCTAGAATTCAATTGTATGTTCATCGTTACAAATTTGTTGTCTCTTTTGAAAAATCGATTTTCAACTCGTGATCGACTTTTAAATTAGGATTTTTAAATTATAAACTATTATCAAAATTAATTATTATGTACAAGAACTAATTTATAGTTCTACAAACGAAGAAAAATTCAGGAATGTCGTCGATCGAATCGATTTTAAATTCTCAGTACTAAGCAATCCATTAATTTATGAAGTTATTTTTTTTTATTATTTTGAAACTATATGGAAACATAATAAAGAAATTTTGTTTAGTTTTTTTAGATTAGTATTTTGTGTTGGTTAAAACATTTGTCGAGGAAGACTCCTAAAAAATCAGGCAAATAGGAACGAAGAACCACTGGGAAATGCGAAAAAAGCAAGGAAAACTTATTCATTTTTCCTTTCCATAGCGTGCGGTGCGAAAAACTTTAATGTGTATCTTATAAGATGAAATCACAAGAACTGTTTGTGTGTACAACACTTGATCAGAATACTTATGACAAAAAAACGTTACTTTATTTTATGAAAATGTATGGTATACTAAATTCGACACGCGACTGTACTTTGTAAAAAGGTGTATAACATACCTGTTTCTGCATATGGTGTTGATGGAATAGCCGCTGCTTCATAAGAGCTTGTAGCTGGCTGTGCTGGTCCAGCAATTGCATTGCGAGCAAGTCTGGAGCGACCAGCGGTAAGGGGGACCTGGCGCCAGCGTTAGTGCTACCCGAGGGCGAAGCTGGAGCTGGACTTGATTGGGCGGAACCTCCCGTTGGTGAAGGAGGGGCGGAGGCCTGTATTACCACGCAAACAAATATAAGTCCTAATAATAATAAAACACAAACTAAAATAATAGGAATATAAATAAAAACACCTAGACAAAAGATAATTGCACATTGTTTAACTAAATCGTCGCGCTGCGAAGCATGCGAAACGTCGGGCCGTAGTTAACATAATTTCCAAATAAGTTTAACTAATATATATAGCGTTTTAGACCGTTAAAATATTTTATTTAAATGTGTACTACTCGCTTAAAGTCCAGACAGTATAAGGGTTTATTAAATAAATAATTAACATATAAGGTTGGCGGAAAGGCGGCCTTAAAGCCTATAGCGAATTCTTCCAGGCAACCTTTGTTTATGGAAGATAGAAACAAAGAAACAATTAAAGAGAATCAGTTAACAAGATAAATACTATTAATAAAACTTAAATACAATTTATTCTAACAGGGCTACGAGTCCTAATTGAACTATATATTTTTTGTTTTTTTTAACTTATCTAAAAATAAACTCTGTTCGTTGAGGTCCTTCTCAGCTACTATTTCTTACTTTATACCCAAAAATGTTTCTTTCTTACCCTTGCAAGAGCCAACGGTTCATTGTCTCTAGGCGGGGAGCGGCGCGGCGGAGAGGTGCGCCTGCGACGCCGCGCGTCGCCTCCCCACCTCCCAGACTCCTCTCTGAAATAGGTAAGTATTACATATTGCTCTACGATTACCTAAATTTGTTGTAGAAATGAAAAAAAATACATATACCAACTAGGTCGCGCCGACGGATTAGTTAGATACGTATAGGTAAGGTCTTAGTAATTGCTTATTTTGCGGGTAGTTGAAAAATAAACAGGTGCTCATCGGTGCTTTTATTAACTCGCATAATTTAAAACTAATTCTTAAACATTTAACATTTTTAGAATAAAGCAAAAATTTAATCTTAAGAATCGCAATAAAACACTTTCAACGGGTCGTGGGTTCGACCCTCACCGGGTCCAACATGTATATCAATTTATAGTTTTCTCAAACATGTTCATGTTCATGTCAAACATGTGGGTAGGAATATCGAAATTCAGCCCGGGACACGAAGTACCGTCCACAGATAAAAGAACCGTAAAGTTTAATCGCGTTTCGGTTACGGTCTGTGGATTTTCGACTATCAAAAAGCACAAAATAGGTAGACAATGTATCTGGTTTAGATGTTATATGGACCCCACCCACATTTCGCCTTCAAATTAAAATAAAATATACTTTATTCCCTTTAAAATTTTAAAAATTATTCAGATTCGTCGAAAAAATTTAAAATTGAGTGTCAACTCGTCATGATTCTACAGAGTGTTCAAAAGAGCAACATAACTGAGAAGAACACCCAAGAAACTCAGTCCGGCTTTTTTTAACATGTCTTATAAGCTAAAACATTGTTGTGAATTTATTAACCTAAGGAGCAATTCCTATTACTGCCAGGCGGTCTTGTCATTGAAGAAATCGTTCAGACAATACGCCTTTTGAGACAATCGAAATTGTATAACTTTTTTAAATTTATTTATCGATAAATTTGACACCTTAACTGGCAAATATACATACGAATACAATTCCCCGCAAATAAATTAGTTATTTTATGGAGCCTATATTTGGGGATAGCTAGGTTATCCTTATTTCGTAAGTTCAAATTATGCCTGTCACTATTCTTGATGAACTTGCTTTCATTTTTATGGTTCCATCAATAGAGTTATAAAAAATTATAAATCATCATCAATATATTTTTTTATAAATTATAATAAGTTATAAAAAATATATTGGTGACTTAGGCGATTGAAGACAACGGTATAACATCGTGGCCGACTTGATTCACATCTGAACGCCTGTTTGCGCATAGTTGAACCGTGATTTCACTAAGACAAATAAAAACTAGGAAATTCTTAAACCAAACAAATTGTTGGTACCGTACATATTATAATATTAAAGCAAACGTTGCGTGATTCGCGTAAGTGTCTGTAAACAATTATGCATGTTAGGAAAAACGAGTTTGATTATATAAATTGTAAATTTATTTTAGAACTGACGGAATTCGAACCGACGATCACAATTCCGTGCTGTTGCTCTATCAATCGAGCTAATCTGTTCTACAAAATATATATATAAAAAAAGTTACATCTGGAAGATGCGACCTAGTAGTCGTAGAGTTCGTCAAAAATTAAATATTAAAATTATAATTTTTTTTATGATAGAGAAGGACAGACAAGCACGGGGTGACAAGATGTGCTGTTGATCTATTTGGCTATGGATATTTATAAATCCACAGGCTGCAACCATAACGCCATTAATTTTTGAATCTGTGGGCGGTGGGTTGTGACTCGGTGGGAATTTCGATATTCCTACCACCTATTATAATGTCCACATTTCCAGAAGAAGTCCAACATAGTTGATTAATTGTTAGCCATACAATACCAACAGTCGACCACGAGGGGGTGGACTTATTGGTAATAATTATAATATATATATGTATATAAACTAAATACATTAACAAAAGAAAACTACCCTCAAATGTTTGTAATTTTTACATAATGTTACCTGTCCAAACAGCGGTCCAGCTCGAAAGAGTTGAGTGGCGGTGGCTTTGTAGCACCACCCGGACTTGAATTTAGCGCTGGCTCCGGACCCTGGTGGAAATAAATGTAATTAGCAAAGGATGTTGGATAGCATGCCATGGTAAGAAGCCCTGATGTCTAATCTCTAATGTGTTACGACACCGACGTAACCTCTTCTCGCTTACGTCAGCCGAACAGCCCAAAAACAATTATATGTTGTTAATTATTAATGTATTTTTTATGACAGAGTAAGACAGTAAGGTATGGAGTTCAATAGAATACTTCATCCGTATAACATCTAAACACGATGCACTGTCTTACTATTATGTCTTTGAGCATTTTGTAATCCACAGATTGAAATCGAAAGCGGTAATGAAAGAATTTACGAAGTAATTTAATTGCACGACTGGATTTCCAACTACCGACCTCATAAACAGAAGTCACACACCAAAATGCCGAGAAAACAATGTTCATAATTTATTGAATGTAGAGATTTTTTTTATAAATATTCTTGTATATTTATTATATTAAAGAACATTTCCTATAAAAAGTAAATAAAAGACTTTTATTGGTTTAAAACGTGAAATCTTATTTACAAAGAATCGAAGTTAAATTATTTGCTACATAAATATTTCGCGTTTTAAACCGTTAAATGTTATATATATATATATATATATATATATATATATTTACTATTCGTATATAAACAGATAATTCCTAACGCATTACGTGCTTTATGTAAATCAGTATTGTTAGGCGCGAATTTGGTTTCACACAACGCAAGTTTACTTAAAAAAATCAACAGTGTATGTAGTTTATCTAAATAATACGTATTTGCTAGATATGGAGGTAGTTGGTAAAGTAGGCTGTTGATACACTAACAATGGAGACTTCAAAATACCATTTTATTTTTTTTATGGTGGGGGACAGACAAACATCGCGTACACTTGATAGAAGGTGAAATACGCCAGCCATATAACATAAATGGGTCAACAGCACATCGACACTGTCGACCTATTTTTGGCTTTGAATATGGAAATCCACGCTTCATTATCTGTGGACGGTGAGATTTGCGTGAAATTTCGATACATGTTAGACCCGGTGATATTATCACATCGCTTCCATTAGGCAAACTAGCCCGTCAAATGAATTGTACCCATGTGTAACCAAACTTAACCAAAAACGGGTCGGCCATGTTTATGACGTCATTGTTTTTCATTTCAACATTTTCAGTATTTCAGATACTGACTAAGAAGTACCGAAGAGATCTTTCAGAAACAGGCTTAAAAGGAAAAGTACAAAATACTTTAGTCCGTAATGTTTGGCAAAACACTTATTATATACAATGAATTATTATTTGCTACAACTAGACATATCGCAGATACGTTGTCGAGTAAGTGCATTGATATTTTAATTATAATTTCTTATTTTTTAAAGAGTCAATTACCACCTTTCTTTCCATGTGTGGTCTGTGGCTATAACGGTTCGCCTTTTTACAGATAAATAGTAGTTGAAACCAACGTGCTGCTCAACCGAAATCATTATCTTTTCTCGAGATTCGAACCTGTCCCAAGTCACATCGAGGGAAACTTAATTTCAGACAATCATAATTAAACAATAACACAGTTGGAGTTTTTGCTGAAAATGTGTCAAATAGAATTATAACGGCACGTGTATGAGCGTCTGACGTCAGAGTGAATTAGGGTTGCCAACGGACCTATAAAATAAAAAAAACATATAAATAAATAAATATCCCAACTGGCTTGTTACTCTTATAGTAGCGTTGTATGGCTAATGATATACGTGGGTTCGATAACCACCGGGTCCAATATGTTTTTAATCAGTTTAATTTTTATCTGAAAAGGTTAGACTTCGTCTGGTACCGTGGTAACGTCCATAGATAAAAAGCCCTGATGTTTAATCACGTTTAGATTTCTGTGTATGGATTTACGAATAGCTAAAGCAAACCAGGTCGACCGCATCTTGAATAGATGTTATTTGTTTGGGGTACTTCATCAAGCGAACACCACGCTTCTCCGTCTTTCTCCATCATAAAAAAAAAATATTTTGTAAATAAAATAATATATTAAGCAAAAATAAAGTCTCATTTTAACATTGAAAAGTAACAAGGAAATCCTAAATTATAAACTCGCGTTAACATTAATAATGTTATAATAAATCATTTTATAATCATAAAATACTTTATTTTTAGGAGGATTACTAAAAGCAAACGACTTAAGTGGATGGGACATGCGCTGAAATTTGCGGATGAAAGAGCTCCAGGACCTTGCTAAACTCTGAAACAGGAGGCAAACAAAGGCCTGGGATACGGAGGCTGCAGTTGTTAAGGAACATGAAAATCTTAGGTGTACAGAACTGGAAACAGACCGGGATAGATTGGAGGCTAGGAACAATAGTGTGCAGCCATTGTTGATTATGATGTAAGTACTATGTTTTTATAACAGACAAAAGCTATTTTTGAACACTTTTCACATGTTATTGCACATGATGGCACTATAAAAATAAAAATATATTATAAATTGGAAAAAAAAAAATACGACACGGGCACGGTTGAAATTACAATGCGCGGTGCATGTATCGAAAGGTTTAAAAGATTCGACGATGTACACATGTGGCCACGATAGTTCAATTGGTAAGAGCAACAGCTCAGAACGCTGTTCAAGTCCTGCCCTTGTTGTAGATCTTTTCAATTTATAATTTATTATTATTTGTCAACTTTTTTTTTGAAGTTCGCCGCAAAATGTTGGCAACCCTACAATGAAAAATAATACATCTCACAAATAAGTATTTATTATCGACTCGCCCACCTATTTGTTGTCTTAGCCAGTTTACCTAACAAACACGCGATATTTGACTTATTTTATTACTATGGACAAGCAGGTACTAAAATGTGTTGTCATGTTATAAAAAAAATATTCATATTTCACGATTTGTTTGAGAACGTTGTGCAAAGCGTTCTTTTAGTTGCCGCCTCCTCTTTGATGGCGATTAATTATTGTTTCCAGTTTACGCGAGTAGTGCACATTTAAATAAACCACTTAAAACGGTTTAAAACGCGATATAAAATACTTTTGCAACAGCCGGAGTATAACTTACCTAATATATTTCGTGTTGTAAACCGTAAAAGTGGTTTATTTAAATGTGCACTACTCGCGTACTTGATACTTAACATCAGCTGTGGTAACTGGGGGACTAAAGTAGGAGGGCATCCCTAAAGTCAAAATAGAAACTGCTATATTAGTAGACTAATACACTTCACATTTTATACCGTTAAAACTGTTTTATTTAAATGTAAAGCTTACGAACTATGAAACAAATGTAACATGTTTGAACTATGAGCTACGCGATGAGGTCACCGGTTCTAGACCCGTTGTTTTCATCGTGCTATGTAAACATGAAACTGTAGCCAGTGCTTAATGTAAACTATGTCATGTACTATTTTTTATAAACACCCTATATAACAAAAACAATCTAGGAACAGTTATGACTAGACATGATTCATTTTGAATAGACGAGGCGTCAAATCTTCTTTCTAACTGTGGAACAGACTAAAATAAAACTAATTCAAAAACATAGTCATTAATTATTGTAATAAGAACACTTTTGACGGTTTCAAACGCGAAATACATTAGCTTGCGGCTGCAAAGGAACCAAAACGTCGGACTGTACTTAGTTAAAATTAATTACAAAATAAGTTCACGAATATCATTAGCGTAATAAAAAGTTAAAGTGTTTTATTTAATTAAGTATTAATAGTCAAGTCAAACTTCATTGTGGTTCTAAATTCAAATCCAAGCAGAACAATATTAATTTTGGATTCGAAATATATGGTCTCATCAAGAAAGTCCTTGTGAGTGGATAACGTATGTGAAACACTAGCCGTGCCAGCGACTTCGTCCGCGTCGAATAGTTATTTTTGGCTGCAAAATTTGTTGTTACAGAACTTCTAATCTTTTTAAATCTAAACAACAACCCAACCCAAAACTAAATAACAACCCACAACGTCGGTCGCGTCCCGTTGTTCTTGCAATTTAATCTTGAAAGATATACACGCTTATTACAAAACACTCTTATTAAAACAACTCTGAAACCTGGTTTAAACCCTAGTTTATTTGAAATCGAAACAAAGTTTAACGTTTGAATTGGACTAAGTATGGTACTAACCACCATCGTTTGAGAGTTAACACAGACTCCGCAGTTTTGGTTTAAGTATTTTTTTGTAATAAGGCCGATAGTGTTGCGGACATATTTTAGATCGTTTAAGGGGGAAAGGTTTATTTACAATTGGTTAGGCATTAGACACAATGACTAACTGCGATACGTTAGATCGATTACAGTAAGAGACATAGGAAAATGTCTGTCTGCAGAATAGGGGAAGCCGGAAATAAATTAACTTGAGCAAATTCAGCGGTTTATTACTTGAGACGTGTTGGGTCGCACTTGTTGTATATTTATTTCAAATTATTACGATGTTGAGCACGTACCGAGCCATACATATTTATTATAATGTTGTCTATATTCCGAGATTTCGACTTAAGACTGTTTGCTTATAAATCTTAATATCTATACTAATTTTATAAGGCTGAAGAGTTTGCTTGTTTGAACGCGCTTATCTCAGGTACAATTTAAATCGTATTTCTTTGTTCCCCATTTATTATCAAAGCCCATATACTATAAAACATCAGACTGCAACTAATAGAAGCGAAAAAACAGCTAGAAATGTGGAAAAAGGGGGGAAAATATCCATCTTTGAGGACCTCCGTTAAGTGCTCTGCGAAAATATGATTCTTATTTAAAAAAAATCTCCGTGAAAATATTTGTCTGTGAATGACGAGATACGTTTAAATACTTTAACGGTTTAAAACGCGATTTCAGATGCTTTGCAGACCCGTGACCACGGCTGTTGCAAAGCATCCGAAAAGTCAGGCCAAAGTTAAAAATCATTTTCAAATAAGTTTAACTAATATATCGCGTTTTTAACCGTTAAAGTGTTTTATTTAAAAGTGTACTACTCGCGTAAACTATAGACCGTATTTGACGAGATACGATTA